CCTTTCGTCTCAATGAGTTTTTCCGCTTCAGCGGCAGCAAATGCTGCAAGTGCCTATTATTATAAAATTAAAAAAATAAATTTAACTGACTAAATTTAAATAATCCTTTAAATTGCGAGATGATATGCACCTCTTTAGCAAAGGCAAATTTATCTTTTTCTCCGGTTTTTTCTTCATGCATTTTTTCGAAGTGCTTCATGGCTTCAAAAGCTGCAGCACCAGCGATTATTTCATAACTAAGATGCCCTTTGTGCTTCTTTTCAGCGTATACATCACTGTAATGTTCTCCGAAAATATCAAAGAGTCCTGAAAAGCAAAATACAAGAATTAATAATTTTAATAAGCATAGATATAACTGAAAAAAACAACACTACGATTTTTTACCCATGATTAGTTTCAATTTAAAAAAAGCGTGTGGTATAATGTGCGTAAATGTAAAAATTAAAAACTCTTGAGCAATTCACAAAAATTTTATATCAAATGTCAGTATGACGAGATCAATTTAATAAATTAAACTTGCTCCATTGTATAGGCTTGACGTCACTTTCAAATTTCCGTTATTTAAAAATTGACGTACTGTACGTACGTAACTTCAAATTGTACAATAGTGTACGACATATTTTAATTGGTATAATTGTACCGATTAGATATTTATTATATCAGTTCTTACGCAATTTTTTTTATTATTATAACTATTGTATATTGATTAGTTTCTCGATGAGAAGCCTCATTTGTAATATTTTTGAAGATGTTTTATTAGCCTGCTTTTATTGGAAACCTGCATTTCGTAAAGAGATAAATTTTCCTATTGTAATTATGCCGAGTTCTGGAAAGTCATCAGTCAAATTTGCATTGCACCTGGTATGAGTCGCAATTTGGATAATCTTACAATACTTGTTTATACATCCATTTTTATCCTATCGTTGTTGGGGATTCTAAAACGCCCCTAGCTCTCCCACAAAAAATTGCAATTTGGATCAATCGAAATTCAGGATCAGGTGTAACGTGAAAATAACACTTTTT